GGGGCAGAAAAAATTCGGAGAGTGTATTTTCGTACATGGCTGTGCGTCCTCTACATATCGACGAAATTGGAGGTTGTGAGAGTATTCTGGACAAAAATTCAATTTTTTGGCGTTTGAAAATCTTTCAGACTTTGACCTCGAACTCTGCGAAAATGAAACTTCTTGCAAATGTTTGAATGTCATATTGTAGAACTTGCTCTTCTCTATCCAATGATGTGTCAAGTCTGGCAGCATGATAGATAGACTTCGATTCATTTAGAAAAGGAGTTTACTGTTGGGACAACCTAATAACTGCTCTCACGCATTATTGTTCTCCTACTTTGTCGTTATTCGAAGACGTAGACGGGCCTTTACCATCGTCTGCACCTGCAGTATTACCTTCGTGTGATGTACGCACATCCTTGAAATAACAATTACTGAAACAGAGAAGAAAGATTGCGAAATAACTTACCTCCATGTGATGTGGTAAAACCTCCTCTCCGTCCTCTCTGTCTAAAAGATAGCAAATGGATACAGAAAAAACGCGTGCAAATAACCCTACTTGCAATGATGGGCCTAAGAGGAGTTTGTCGAGACAATCTTCTCAATCGCATTAACAGATTCAGAACCATTCCTTTCAATTCAGTATCACTAAGAAATAATTCAGATCCAGGCTCAATATTAGCCTAAAAGAACATTTCTGTTTCCCGTTGAAAGGTAACAAGCTGTAATGACTGACCATTATCTCAGGGCAGCTTGACCGCCAATGCGCGTATAAATTATCTTTTCGCCTGAAAACCAGATTATGAACAAATCTAGGTTTATTATAAGTGCACAAGCAAGCAGGCGAATGCGAAGTGCGCTACAGTAAAGCATTTTGAGTAACAAGGATTGGAAAACGGTTCGCTCAGTTGACGCTTACATGGCATACAACGCGTTAAAAAGTCAGAAAAAATCACATAATGTAAAAAATCACCCACCTAAACGCCACTCCACAAAGGTCACAATAAAAGCCACCATTTGGAGACTGCATATCTAGCAATCTCATGCCTGTGTCCGTTGTCGAACTGTGAAGTGCTTCATGCTGTGGAAGGTGATTTCTATCCACCAGAATGCCGCAGATCATACATGCTCTTGCAAGAGGACCTAAATATGCTATACTGTCTCTCAAGCATATTGAATGACATATAAGGAAAACCCCGCCCGCAATGGGTATACAGAATGGAAAGGCAGACGCTGCTAGGGAAGCAGATGTCAACATGAATATTTTCCAATGAATTTCATGCGACTTTTCTTATAGTGGTATAAAAGGGCCGTCATGTTGTAACGCACTCTATTGCATAAGTCCTTTACAAATGAAAATAGTGCCCTACTGGTACTCAACACAAAGTGAGCGAATTTTCTCAAGCCTAAAATCACCTAGTTGATTTTTACATGCCAACACAAACTCCAGTCGTTTGTCAAAATCTTAGGTTAGCCGAAAATCATCAATCATGTCGTAAACATTCCTGAAATCTACCAAATGCAAAAGGTACTATCAGCAACTCTTCGATGTTTTGATTAAGCATGCGATTCACCACACATCGTGCTTACTACTGGCGACGAAAAATTTTGCGCATATACAATACATTCGCTTACTAGAGAAAAGGGGAGAGGGTATCCAACCGCTGCTCCACAAAGATCTCAAACAAAATCGCTTTTACGGTTCGAGATCTCAAATGGCTTGCGCATTTATACATTATTTATAGAGACATACCAACCGTCCTGATGAGACGATCCATACAAAGCAAGTATGCAATTTACTAAACCTCATCGGCGTTATTGAACGCCTTCAAAAATAAAAAAAAATCAAAAGAAAGAAAAGCAGGCGTAACTACCACAAA